GCAATTACAGGAGGAGCACTGAAGACAAACATAACAACACTGGGTCCTCTGGTTCTACCAATCAGCGAGCAGCTTCTGTTCTTCGCGACATTAATGGCGAAGAAGATATTCAAGGCGAAACTAAACGCATACATACCAGACTTCAAGCTGGCGTTCGATCATTTCTGCATCCACGCCGGCGGGAGAGCAGTGATCGACGAGCTGGAGAAGAATCTGGATCTTGAACCGCAACACGTGGAAGCTTCGAGAATGACGCTTCACAGATTCGGCAACACATCGTCGAGCTCAATCTGGTACGAATTGGCATACACAGAAGCTAAAGGAAGAATGAGGAAAGGGAATAGGGTCTGGCAAATCGCGTTCGGGAGCGGATTCAAGTGTAACAGCGCTGTGTGGAAGGCTCTGCGAAACGTGAAGCCATCGCCCAAGAGTCCATGGGAGGATTGCATCCACAGGTACCCTGTTCCGATTCTTTCCTAAGATTTAATTAATTAAATGGAAATTAATATAATTACTTGTACGCAGTAGTAATCGATTGATCATTCGTGATTGATGATGGGGTTCTATGTAGGATTTATTGCTTCTCATCACAATCCCCAGCTGTATCATTACCACATTATTTTGTTCACTGTTACGCAGTTTTGTGTTCATCATTAATGTGTTGTACTATTATCATGCATGTATTTATTGATTTTTTTTTTGCCACTTTTAACGTCAGATTATGCGCATTCACTTTTGCGATATTCAATTGATGGTTTATTAAATCCGTTGGTGTAATGTATTTAAAATTTCAATTCTTAGATAAAATTGTATTCAGCTCAATGAAGTAAAATATAATATACTTAGATGTGATTTCTCGTATATTATTATACTGTTTATAAATTAGAAAGAATTATAATAAGATCCCAAACAATTTATAAATTAGGAAGAATTATAATAAGATCCCAAACAAAAAAACAATTAAAAAACAAGTTTCAAAGGTTGTCATTCTTACTGTAGGACTTGTTATTATAGGCTGTTGAGAACTTGAGATTGTTATTGGGATCTTTTGATAATTTTTTTTTTTATGTGAAGTTTGATTGTAATTCTCCTTGTAAATTATAAATATAGTGTGACTTGTTAGTTTTGGACTCCAAAGTAAATTTACTATTGGAGGACTGCAAAGTTGTGTGGATTAGGGGATGTCGTTATTAATTCAAGAAAGGCGGATTACGGTATAAAAAGGGCGCCAAAGTTGCAGATCTGTTATGATGTCAATCTTAACCCTTAAGCATATCAATATGAAAAACTGTTCATTGTCAGAAAAAGTTCTTTTTTTATATATATAAAAATTAAAATAATAAAAAAAAAAAGGCATCTTCTGTTGCAACTTAATTGTAAAAAAGCACATGGCCAGCCTTGCCCTTCACTTATGTACGACTTTCAGGCTTCCATTCCTCCATGGCTATGGTGTGCCCTCCAATTATTACCATCCAGAATGAGATTCCGCTGTCATTCTCTTTTCATTTTCATTTTTTTTTCTTTTTTGACGCACAGAGGATAACAAAAATACCATTCCTTCAGTTTTTTTTTTTTTTAATGGAAACAACAATATTGCTGATCATCCATGAATATTACAGCATTCTTTTACCAATTAACAGTGAAGCCTGATGTAAAGAAAGCCTTCCTTCATTGATTCAACTCATGAGGCTTCTCCTCCTCCCCCTGTTTCCTTTCTTCAAGAGACGCGTGAATCTCTATATTAACAATTATTGAAAAGAAAGATTAAAACTTATTAAATGATAGTCTCAAAGACGTAATGCCATAAAACAAGGTATTCATGATCTTGCTTGATCGAAAAGCAAGCAAGCAGAACTAAAAATTATAATATTTTCTTGCCTCCGAACAGACTGCATATAAAAATTAATTGTGGAACCCAATATGGAAAAAAAAAAATTATTTTCGCCTCCGCCGCATGATAAAACTTGATAAAGAAGAGTGTAAATGAACGAAGAGGTGGGCCGCCAGTGGCTTATTAGGCAATCAAATATGGGTCAATCCCTTGAGGGAAGATCGATTGGGTTGATGGCCCAATGGTCATCATTGGAGGCCCATTAGAATGGAATTGGGCCTTGGTAGTGATGCCCACTGGAGTGACAGACCGAGGGTTTCGACCTACCATTCTCTCATTAAAATCAAGGGGCAGAAGTCGTAAGCCTTTGGGCGAAATAGGGAACGGAAACGACAGAGCCTTATTAGTTTTCCGCAGGGAATGATGTGTTTATGAATTGGATTCACATTTTCATGGAAAGAAGACAATAAAATATTCTAAAAATTGTTAAAGGATAAATTTTTTAAAATTTCAATTCAGATCTTTTGAACTATTTTAAAATTTTCAAATCCTATAAAATTACTCAGATGTTTTACTTTTTTTTTTTTTTAAATATTGTCACCTCAGCACTTCTGGCCGTTGAAGCTCCAGTGCCACTAACCCTGCTGGTGCCCAACCGCCGGTTGCTGGAGCTTCAATGACAACTCTTTCTTATATATTAATTATTCTTTTTTAGCTACTAACTACATTTGTTTTTTGAATTTTGATAACTACTCTTATTTAACTACTGACTATTTTAATATTGTGACTGATTGCTTTTATTTTTTAAATTTTGATGACTACTCTTATTTAGTTATTAAATACTTTAGTTTCGCTATTGATTATTTTTGTTTCAAAAATTCAAAAAATATATTAAATGTTGGAAATCTAGTTACTTTTTATTTAATTATTTACTACTCTTATGTAGTTAATAATTATATAAAAGTAGTTATCAAAACTTTAAAAACAAAAGTAGCTAATAGTTAAATTAGGATAGTCAATAATTATATGAAAATAGTCAATGACAATAAAATAGTATTATCATTTCATAATATTTTAAAATTTCAAAATAGTACAAAGAGTTTGATTTGGGATTTTAAAATTCACTTATCCTAATTTGTCTTTTAGTATTTTTGAAGATATTTTAGTGTCTTTTTTTTAATTTTAATATTCAAACTCAGGCACATTTTTCACGTATTACGCTGCATGAGGCTTGTGAGTATTACAAATTACTATGAATTTTTAAATTTCTTATCCGTATGAATTTTATTTTGCATTTAGTAGAATGAAGTTTGTTGCTTCTTGTCAAATATTAATTTTGTATGTTCTTATGAGTATTTTACTATTAAAAATTATACTATCGAGGCTGCCGGGCCACTTCGCGTCTTCGCCTCATATAGTCATATTCCCCAAGGCAAACCACTCGGCAGTTTTTTTTTTTTTTTCCGGCCAACAAACCACTCGGCAGTTGGTAATGTAGTTGTGTCCAAAATAGAAAAGGCAGTTACCCGTGCAGTAGTATAGGAGGGCGAAATTAAAAGAATTTAATCAAGAAAATAAAACATAAATATCAAATTAAAAGTGAGAAAATTTTAGATAAAGCCTTCCGAATATACATAATTCTAGATTGGGTTCTGGAATTGTATAAATGACAGAGAGGGTCAATGATCCAATCTGTCATTTGTAAAATTAAGAAGAATCGACAATTTTGTCCTCATCTGTATTCATTCATTATAATAATTTAAGGAATCACTATAAGGGTTTAGGTGTTACCTAGATTCATGTAGAGAATAATTACTTATTTTTTCATTGTCAAGAATGCCACATAAGAGAGTGCCTTGTTATTAACTACAACTAATCATGTAATCACTAGAACAATGTAAATGTTACATAGATTCGTTTAAAGAATAACTACTCACTTTTGCCTTCATTTATATTCATCATTACAATAATTTAAGAAATCACTATAAAGATTTAGGTGTTATCTAGATTTATGTAGAAAATAACTACTCATTTTTTCATAGTCAAGAAATACCCCATGAGAAGATGCCTTGTTATTACCTATAACTTATCATGTAATAACTAGAACATTTTAAATGTTACCTAGATTCGTTTAGAGAATAACTACTCACTTTTATTTAATCAGAACAAAATTGTCAATTTCTCTTAATTTTACAAATAACAGATTGAGTCATTGACCTTTTCTGTCATTTACACAGTTTCAAGACCCAATCTGAAATTGTATATATTTTAAGAGCTTTATCTGGAATTTTTCCATTAAAAATTGAAAGGAAATATAAGTCAACATGTGTCGCCCTTCAAATTTCAATATTTTTTTAATTTTATTCCTACTTAGTATACAATATCAACGTAATAATAATTGCCGACTAAAGTTGTATGTTCATCTATAAGATCAAGTTTTTCTTTTGGGGCCTGAATTCCAAACAGCTAATTGACGCGTCCCACTCTAAAATGATTTTTAAAGGAATATCTTTTATTAATTAGAAATTGTACACATTTTAAATTAAAAATCTTCCCAAGCCGTGTGACATCCTGCATTCCTGGATTCCTGAATCCTGATTCGCGCTTTTGCTCTTTTTCCACAGAAGTGACCCCCACAGATTGCAATCAAATAAGTGATTTTATAATTTACAAAATAAATATATAAAAAAAATTATCTTAATTTGTCAAAAAATACTTCCCAAAAAACACTGTTTTCCTAACACCCTCTTAATTTGTAGACAGAACGCGCTATATGTGCCGCCATCTTAAAACCCTGCTTCGCATGCTCACCAGTTAACAGAGAGACTCCTTTCATTATCTTCTTTTTTTCGTGTGCCCAATATTTTCCCTCTCGTATCGTGTATTAACATTGACTTTTCCTTGTCTGCTAAAGGGGTTCAAAATCAGATACCCATAAGCCCCATAATCTAATGCACCAGACGGCTGTTAAGACCGGTGAGACTAGCGAATACTTTGGTTTGCCCCCAAGATTTCTGTCAAGATATTATTCCCCTTGGGGTTTAATCAGAAATTTATGCTTCAGGATATTCTCAGGAAGACCCTCTCTTGGTCGCCTCTTAAACGACAGATTTTAAGCGTCAGAAGCCAGCCAAATTCAACGTAAAATAAACCAATTATAATAGTGCTCTGAAGAAATTCTGAATTTCTGACTATATTGATCGCTTATAAACAGCCAGTACACAATTCAGAGGTCAAAAAACGAGAACCACAGGAACACGAACCCATATCGGAAATATCGGAAACCAGGACATCGGAACAACCAGAAGTAACCACTAGAACAGAATTAGAAACCCCACCCCAACCCACAGATCCCTCGAACTCGGAACTCAAAACAGCTGATACTAACGACATCTGAGAAGCCTAGCTCCTCCAGCTTCCGTCAGAAGCACCTCCGCCTCTGGAGTACCGAGATCCACCGTCGCCATAACCACGGTCACGCCCACCGCCATAACCACCACCGTAGCCGCCACCGCCTCCACCGTAGCCTCCGCCGCCGTTACGGTTGTATCCACCTTCACGGCGGCCTCCACCCCCGCCCCCGTATCCGCCTCCACCACGGCTATATCCACCACCTCCGTAGCCTCCGCCACTGCCATACCCACCGCCTCCACCGCCACCTCGGCCCCGGGATTGAGCCTCGTTCACAGTAATATTACGGCCATCAAGGTCCTGGCCGTTCATTCCCTCGATAGCATCTCTCATGGACTGCTCAGACGAGAAGGTTACGAATCCGAACCCTCTCGACCTGCCAGTCTCGCGGTCGTTAATAACCTGTATCAAAATCCAGAGTCTCGCGTCAGATCTAGCACAAAGAACACCAAAACCAGATCCAGCAAAACCAAAGGAAATAAAACGCATCAAAATCGATCGATCTCCGCCTTTGGCACAAAGATGAAGATGAACGTACCGATTGGTGTGAGTAATAAAAGAATCAAGACAGTAACACAAAGATGAGAGATCAAGTAGTAACGCAAACAGATCAGAGAACACAGATCAGATGGGATCCAGAAAATCCAAATCCGCATCGTGTCAGATCCGATCCCTGCAACAAACGGACCTTCGATTCGACGATTTCGCCAAAGGGAGCAAAGGCCTTCTCAAGGGCCTCGCTGTCGGTAGCCCATGCGAGCCCCCCGACGAAGCACCTAAATTCAACTTCAGCAGACGCCATAGATCTGAGAAAATGAGTCGAAACCCTAGAAAACGAGGACAGAAAGGGAAACAAAGGAGGATTAGCTAGAATCCACCTAATGAAGAGAGCACGAAGAGAAGTTGTGAACCCAAAGCCGATTATATAGCCGGGGATTTTTTAACTATAGTTAATTAAGGAGAACAGAGTCCCGGTCCCATACGGCTAGAGTACTAACTAGGGTTAGATCAACGGCCGGTTATTGGCCTATTTGCAAGGCGTTGTTTGGTTGCAGATTTTTAAAGCTATTATTATTACGGCGTAGCCAACACCCCCCGCCCGGGGGTGTTATTGGCGGTACTGTTGTAGTGCTGGTATTGCTCGTCTTGATAAATAAAATAAAATCTCTGATATCAACCATTTAAATATTTTTCAATATTTTTTTCATTTGTACATGATGTGTTTTGATAAGCTTGCTCAAAATCATCACAGATCGCAGACCATGGATGAATATTTGATTCCAGCTGAATTTAGGGTCTAGTCAATTATCAATCAATCATGAATTAAAATTGGATATACTGTGCGCAGAATCAGATGGCTACACCGGTGGTGTTGTTAGGGATGGATTCTGAATCCCGACTGGTGAACACCTCCCTTGCCACGTGGAGTTTGAACAGATCAACAATAGGGAGAAAGAGGGAAAAGTACGCACGTGTGATCAGTGACGAGATGGAAAAAAATAGTGTTTTCTTCCAATTAGGGTCAGTGATTACTAGGAGTTTTATTTAAATTATTAGAGAAAGGGATTAGTTGTGAGATAAAACCGGGAAAAACTGGGAAAGTGGGTCCCAAAGTCACGTGACAAGGCTGCAAAGGCGGTGGATTCGAGACGTCGACAACAACAGCAGGAGATATTTTACTGTTCCAAAATATCTGACGCTTCTTCCCATAAAATATCTTATCCGTTCAAGTACAATTTTGCCCCCAGCACCATGCGAATTTCTCTTCTACCCTGACTCCCCTCTGACCCTGAGGTAAGAAATTCGGATAGGATTACGCTTTCCTTGAGGGAAAAATGAAAAAAAAATAAAAAATTATTAAATCTTAAATCAGATTTAGTAATAATGCTTTATTTAGTATTAACAATAACAAATTTTTATTAATATTTTTATTTATTATTTAGTGATTTTTAGTTTATTGGAATCAATATCTCTTGCACTCTTCTTTAAGTTTTGCAATTTCAATTGTTTTTTCAGTTAGCTTCCCCAAAAGTTTATAAATCAATTTGGGAAGGCCCATCCTTTCTTTGATCGGGAGCGATTTGTGGCGAGTTCCCAGCGGTCATGGAAAGAGGAAAAGTGCTTGCTTCATGTATTTACCCGACTCATCTGAAAATACCGACCCTGCTTGCTTTAGCCCAAAAAAAGAGATCTTGTTTCAGGCATGTCCACAACTATTTTTTAATAAATATAAATATATTATTACTAACATAAATTGGGTTTAACGGAAGGGACTAGTTCCTCACAACATGACGAATCAAGGTTTAAATTCCTGTTAGAAGAGGTACCTACATTTAGTGCCCGACAGTGCCTTAAATAGAATTGCCTCTAATAGGAGATACGTATGCTTCAGCAAAAAAAAAATCTATTAAATAAAAAGTTAAAATATATTTTCACTTCTTTAACTCTATACAAGGTATCATTTTAATACATTAACTTTAAAAAGTAAATATTTAGTCTTTTAACTCTAAAACTATTAACAAAAAAGTGATGATATTAAGCTCTTGATTGCTGATAAAACATTACTGAATCCTAATATATTAAGTTTAATATTCAAAACAACTATGATTGTTACAAAAAATTATTATTTAAGACTAATAATTTTGGGATTAAAGGACTAAAAGTATATTTTTTAAAGTTAAGAGACCAAATTAAAATTTTATATAAAGTTAAATGACCAAATATATACTATAGTCTTAAATAAATTTTTGAGTTAAGGTGTATCTAGCTCCTCGGCTTATTTTTTCATGTGCATTCAGTATCTCAAAATATCTTATGGTGCATTCAGCTCTCTGAAGTTTTTTTTTAAAGTGCTTCTAAAACCTTGAAATATTTTTTAGTCCATCCGGAGCCCTAAAGTATTGATGCACTCAAAAATAATTTTTGGTGTGTCTAGCATCAAGGCAAAAATAATACTTTAGGGTTCTAAAAGCCTCTGAAAAATATTTTGAAGTGCTGGATGTACTTGAAAAAATATTTCGGGGTGTTGCACCTTAATCCTAAAAATTTTAATTAAGATAGGATAATTGTATTGTGCTTAATATTTTATTAATAATAATCACGTGATTTTCGTAATTTTAAATGAACTAGATTTTTGGGTCGTACATGTACCCTTTTTGTTTTTTGTTTATCGAGAATATTAGGCGGGTTCGGGCCTATTAAGTATAAAAGCCTCAAGGCTTGTGGGCTATGGCCCATTGTAAAGTTCAAGTATCTAATAGGGCTCAAGGCCCATTAATTGTACTGTAGCTGTAACTCTGTTTGGGCCGAAACGAGACGATAGCTATTTAGGAACTGGGCTTTTAATGGAAATTTTGAATCTTCCAGTACCTCTGTCAAGGTAAAACAATGAGACTTTCTTCACATGAAAACAATAGCCTAACCCGAATCTTCTGTATTTGAAAAAAAAAATAATAATAATGGAGGTTGGGTCTAGCAGAAGGGACAAGTTTCTCGTAATATGATGAACTAAGATTGGAATTCCTTCTCAGAAAGGTGTCCACATTTACTGCCCAACAATATCTCGAATAGGATTACTTCTAATAAAAAAATACATATACCTTAAAAAAAGAAAATATATGGAAAAAAATAACGCAACTCCTACCATTATTATTTTATCATTTTTCTTTGATACTACTAAGTATTAGTAACAAGCAACAACATAGTTTTTTATTATAAAAGTCTTAAATAAATTGGGGCTTGTAGCTCAATTCGCACCAAATACTTCTTTAATGACTTTTTTAAATGTAACCCCGTGAGATCTACGGAAGGCATAATAATAACCGCGTCACTCCCAGGGGGAAGATATTAAAATAAACTATACTCCCTCCGTTTCTTATTATAAGAGACAAATAACTAAATTACGTTGATAAAAAAAACAGTTAAAATTAGTTGAGGACAATTAATGTGTAAAAAGTATAATATTTTTTCCAACAATGCCCCTATTAATAAGGAGAGAGAGTATGAGAGAGAACAATTAAATTATTAAAAGAAAGAGAAGTGAAAGGGGAAGAGAGTATGAGTTGGATACAAAATAAATAGGGGTAACATAGGAAATCAATACAAAAAAATAGAGACAACTTTTAAGTGTCTCTTATATATGAAAATATGTCATAAGTACCAAATGTCTCTTATAATAAGGAACGGAGTGAGTAATAATTAAACCCTATCAACAAAGTTTGTGAACCCAAATAAACCCTATACGGGTATTCCGTTTTCTTGGGAACGTTGTAAATGGCATTAAATTATGAAAGCGATGAACAATAATCAGAATTTCCACGGACTTCACTGCTTTTAATAAAGCATATATCATCAAAGTCAACGAAACAGCTTTCACAAATAACTCAAAAATAATGTATAAGTAGTTTTTAATTCATAATTTATAAAATATAAAATAAGTATATAAAAAAGTTTTGTTTTAATTTATATAAAATGTACTTATAAATATTCATATAAATGATGCACTCAGTATCCTGTGACGTTGAATTTTTTTTTTCTGAATAGGTAAAAACATAGATGGATTATATATTCGGGGGTTCACCACTATACAATCACCTAGCGAGATCATGATTTTTTTTTTTTAATCTCGATGTCAAGGTTGGATTTTCGACGCCCAAACGAAGGAAAATTACACCAATAACATTCTCTAGTGAGCAGAATTTTTTTTTTCTGGTAAAAAAATCCCGAAGAAATGTTTGAGGCCGTAGCTGACAAAAGAACGCTAATCATGTAAGCCTTAGGGTGTGTTTGGATTAGCGGTAGAGAAGTAATTTTTTTTGCAATCTGACTTTGGGTAAAAGTCAGATGGTAAATTGTGATTTATGTTTGAATTGGCTTTTATAAAAAAGTCAGTTTGAGAAATTGAAAGTTGTTTGGATGATTAATAAAAAAGTCAGTTTAGATGCAAAATGATTAAAAAGACATAAATTTTATTAAGTAATATATATATTTAATATTAAATGTATATAATGTGACAATTATAAAGAAAATATTAAAAATAAAATTATTAGAAATAAAGAAATTAATTTATTATTATGAAGAAATTGAAAAAAATACTGAAATACTTAATTGAATATATTTAATGGATATGTGTGTGAATAAATCATTTGCCACTAGCTCTATTCTTTCTCGTTTTTTCAAAGAGGAAATATGTATATGAAAGAGGGTTAGGAAGGCAAAGAATTTAAAGTGCAATAATAAATGCTCTCCAGTAGTTTTCTCTACCACACTGATGGTCTTCACTGTTAAAAGTAAGATGATGTAGCTTATGGAAAAAACTCATTTGAGGCAGAAAGTCAAATTACCAAATCGCTGAGTCAAACATCACCATTTCATAGAAGCTAGCTTTTACTGGTTGAGAAGTCAATTTAGACTCTCAAACATGATGCCAAACACACCCTTAATTGAGGGGCGTGCTCCCAACTTAGCTGCATATTCTCGAGGACCACACAATCATTTCAAAGATGTTCCATCGGTCTTACTGACTAATTCCGTCACATCTTAAACAATAAAGAAACTTAAATTATATCTTGGCACAGATAGGTTCAGGCTTTTGTTTTTTCCTTTTTTGGGTAAAATAAAAGATCTTCAAAATTTAATACTTTTATTTATAAAGCAAAGAAAATATTTTCAGTCCTATTTATTTCATTAAATTTTTAATATAAATATATTATTTTATCTTTTATTTATTATAGTGTAGGTAGTTATTTCTTTTAAAAAGTATACATATTAAATATGAGTAAAGTTAAAAAATTATTATATTTTAATTGATAGTTAATGCATTTTAAGGTTTTTCTTGGTTTATATAAAATATGCTGAAAATATCTTATAAATAGGATCAGAGGAATATACCACTTC